TTCGACGTATTTTCAAATTTCCACACCTTTTAAGAATATTTCGGAAAAAGAATTAAAAAAAATAAGGGAAAATTGGGAATTCAAAATGATTGTTGGTATTAGGTGTCAAATATTTGTCCAATTCGACACTGCCTATATTTGGATTGTTACACTGGTAAGTAAGTATCGTACAAATTCAAATGGACATGACGCAATTTAAGGCTATGCAGACATGAGGGAACCGCTATCAAAGTTGAAAATATTTTATGTAGTGATAACAAGGCTTGCATTCAGTTGCCTAATAGAACAGAATTAGAATCGGGATTAGGATGCAGGGGGCCTGATAAATGTTGGCATGCTGTGCGATTCTTCTATTGCCAATTAATACTATTCTGCAACAATATCTTCAACTAATCAAATCAAATCATGGCATTTGGTATGTCTCTTTATATAGTCGATAGTATTAATTATACATCAAATAATAATCCTAAATTAGGCCTATGCATTTCATGCATTCCGTCCATCTTCAATTAAAGGAACTAGTTTGGACCTTGTCGTAGGACATGGGGTTGTGATAGTACAATTGAGACTATAAGTGACGAGGTTTTACCAATGTATTGAAACTTTCGACTTGAAATTATTTCTGAATTTGTGTATTACATAACTTATTGGATTTTCTTTTCTTTCTTTTTTTGGATAGCGAGCACATAGGATTTCCTTTTCAAATCACTAGTTGATCATGTGACATAACGTTAAATTTTTAATCTTCTTACTTGCAAGCTTTCGATCGTAGAATAATGAGTCGTGCTTAGTCACTCACATACTAAGCCGTTGAGCTTTTTTTTCTATATTATCTAGTCATTTCATTCTGAAGAAGCTTAATACTGTGCTAAGGAAAAATGCACACTGGTAGAACCGTAAGCTAAAAATGTTAACATGAGATAAAAAGCTAAACACCAAATGAAATAAAAAGGAAAATGGACATTGGGAAACCCGTTGGCCAAGAATTTCTAAATGTGACACTGAATATATAAACCTGCAATGTCACCCACTCGGGAGGAGCCAACTTGTAAGTCCATGAAAAGGAAAAAGAAGGGCCAACAGAATCACCTCGTGTATGTAATGAGATGATTTAACATAATCACCCAATTCATATACTATAGATTCTCCGGTCATTGTTGATATATCAAATGTCTGAATATGCTTATTAGTTCCATTCAAATCGTGATACAGGGTCTCACCCAATTCTAGTCTTTCGTAAAACGTGTGCATCTAATCTTCAGCCGACCTTACTCCGAGCATCAGTATTGCTCGTTGGTTTTCTTTTCAATTTCTTATTTACTTGGAAAAGCAAGTCAAGTCAAGGAACACATGCAGAGGTAGGTTCAACGCACCTTCCGCATGATGCTATGGAAATTACGCCAGCAATAATGGCCCTTTGCTTTTTATTTTCTAATTATTTTATTAATAGAAAAAGCAAGCCAAGTCGAAGTCAAGTCGTGCTTGCGTTGAAACAAAACGCCTGCGTAGGCCCTACGCACCTTCCGCGCAATGCTGTGGAAATTACGCGTGCAATAATTGCTCTTTTCGTGCACCACGCGTCGCAGTGTTTCGGTCTGTTGAAGTGTCTTGGACCGTTTGGATGGCAAGAACTCAGCATTGTTCAAACATGCACAGTTGAGATGTCATTTGTCTCTAAACCTTTTGTCACTATAATGTGTTTGATGTCGACTAGTTTTGACATTTCTCTCAACTCTTGGCATGCACGTGGGTAACACAGTGAGAAGCTTGAATTATTGAGGATAATGCATTTCTTTGATGACTTTATCAAAAATCCGATTTGATGGAAGTTTTCTTTACATAGTTGCTTCCCATTTTTAATTTACTATTGGTGTTTCCAAGTGACAACTTTTGTTTCTTTGTTCAACTTTTTTTTGCTTTAATCTTCTAGCCGGCAAAGTGTAGAAACCATCACACATTTCCTATCGATATCGACATTTGCTCGATTTCATCACTCTATTGTTGTATGAAATCCATTTTCTTTACAAAAAAAGAAGTGACGATAGAGTTAAATGGTAAAAGAGTAACTCCTATGGGAACCATTGAGTAGTTCTTGAAAACATGTTTGAATGGAACAAAAAAATATATGATGTAGCATAGGAAAATCTAGTGTGAAAAAATTGTTTTGGAAGAGATTTATTTTAGGAGTTATTTTTCCTGACCAATCTTTTGAAAAAAGAAAGTTCAACTGTGGATATTTGAAAGTAATGCGTCCTGCGGACTTTTAATAACAAAATCCTATATATATAATCCCACGATTAATATGCTTTTGTCATTGACTCATGCACATTAGTTTTCTTTTCCATTATTTTATTAACAAAAAGAGCAAGTCAAGTCAGGCCAGTACTGTACCACAAATTTCAATGAAAGCACCTGCATGCCCCTTACGCATATACAAAAGGCAAGTAAGGTCAATGACGCGTGCATGAATTGTTCAATGCCCCTTACCACAAATTTCCGTAGCATGCCTCGTAAGTCGTATCAATTCGATTAGCATGAAGAGTCTCGAACCGTTGGATGGCAAGGTCTCAAACATTGTTTTTTTTTTTTTTGGTCGATTCAGACATTGTTCAAAGCACGCATATTAGAGAATGTCGTTTGTTGGTAATCCAACTTCGAAGGCTGAAAATCGGTGGAGATCCCAGGGTTGTGTTGTTTGAGCACTCGTCAGGGAGTCAACTGACTCCTTGCTGCTCTTATCTGTTTCCTGCTTTTAATTGCTCCATTTTCTTCTGATTAAGCAAGAAAGAGTTGTCTGACAAAAAAAAAAACCAAGAAAGAATTGCACACATTCAACCGAGTTTAACATATTGCAACGTCAGCGATTTTTAGCGATTTTTAGCCAATTTTATCTGGAAGGACTAAATTGACAAATCGTCAAAAAATTTGAAACTCAATTGGCAAATTATCAAAATTTTTAGGACTAAATTAAGACAGTTGAAATGTTTAGTACTAAATTGACAAGTTGTCAAAAGATTCATGATTTAATTGACACAATTGAAATATTTAGGATTGAATTGATCGCCATACAATATGTTTAGGATTTTTTGGACAATTTTCCCGAAAAAAGCATCACCGAATATTTATTCGATTGTGGAGAGTCGTCACCGAGAATTTATAGATGCAGTATCGAAAATAAAATTCACATAAAATGTTAAAAGTTATAAATTTAAGGAGAGAGATAAAAAGTGACTTACGTGTGGGATAATGACTAGATAATCTGTAAGAATGATGTGGGATGGAGAAATGTAGTTTGAGAAAATTGTTTCTGAAGGGATTTATTTTGAGAGTTATTTTCCTAGACCAATCTCTTTTGAGAAATAAATAATAGTTTGATCGTGGATGGAACAAACTCACGCGTCCCCCAGACATTTCTATTAACAAAATCCTCGGGGATAAACGGAATCTCTTGTTAGCACGAGGAGCATGGGTGCATTGCTAGTTGGTTTTCTTTTCTATTTTGTTTGTCAAATCTCAATGAAAGCACATGGCATGCACCTTCCGCAGATAATGCTGAGCGTCGGTGGAGATCCCAGCAGGAGCACGTGAGTATTATTGCTCGTTAGTTCTCTTTTCTAGTTTTCTTTATTAATATAGAAGACAAGTCAAGTCAAGTCGTGCTGGATTTCGAGTTTCGATCAAAGCACCGGGAGCATGTGAGCGTTGCACGTGATTGCATGTGAGCATGTCAGTCTTTGCTCGTTGGGTTCCGCACCCTTTCCGCATGATGCTGCGGAAATTTCGCGTGTAATGACCGTTCTTTCCGTAGCATGCATTCGCAGCGGTTCGATTAGCACGAAGAGTCTTGGACCGTTGGCTGGCAGGAACTCAGCATTATTCAAGCGCACATATTAGTGAATGTTGTGTGCTGGTAATCCCACATTGAAAGCTGAAAGTCAGTGGAGATCCCAGGGTTGTGTTGTTTGAGCACTACTCAGGTAGTCCACGATGCCTTGCTCTTATCTGTTTCCTGCTTTGATTGCTCCATTTTCTTCTGATTTAAGTAAGGGGTATGAGATTTCTTTTATTTTCGTTTAAATTAACTGAGTTCTGAGAGACATTTGTTCAATTCGCAGATCCGGACTGAGAAATCTGGCTTTCTTTTAACGCCCAGCTTGATCAATCTCCTATTTTAAAACAGAATAAGGATCTCTTTGGTCAAATCACTACATGATGTATATCCAATCAAGAAGAAAGAAATTGATCTCTCCCTTCTCTTTCTTTCTCTCCAATTCCTTTCTTCTCTTTTCCCTTCATTTCCCTCTCTGCTTAAATTGCCAATCGAATTGCAAAAGAAAAGAACCCACTCATGCAGAAGATCCGAATTCTAGAGCGGCTTCCTCATCGACGCCTCCGCATGGAGGAAGTGATTATGAAGGTGGAGAGGAACAGCATAAGGGAAATAACTATGAAGTGTTCTTGAGCTTTAGAGGAAAAGACACTCGTAAAGGCTTTACCGACTATCTCTACACTAGCCTTGTCGATGCAGGAATTCACGTGTTTAGAGACGACAATGAGCTCCGTGTTGGTGAGGAGATTGGTCCAGAGCTTCTCTGCAGCATTACACATTCCACGATCTCGATCGCAATTATCTCTGAGAACTACATTTCCAGCAAATGGTGCCTCCGCGAACTGGCTGAGATGTTGAAGTGCAAGAGAAGTAAAGGGCAGATAGTGTTGCCCATATTTTACAAAGTGGAACCCTCACAGGTGCGTCATCTTACAGGGAGATTGGGAGATGCTATAAATGCACATAAAAAGAATGTGGACGAAATGGTTGTGAAGGAATGGGAAGTAGCACTCAAAGCAGTCGGCTCCTTAAAAGGATGGGAATCAGAAAAAATTGATAGCGGGTACCTTATTCTCCAACAAAACATTGTTTAATTTTTCATAAATAGATCTTTCTTGAAAAAGAATGTACATATTGCTATCCTATACTAATATTCATTATTATTTGACAGGCATGAAGGAACATTGGTTAAAATTGTTGTCAGAAAAGTTATGGGCGAGTTAAAAAGACTTTTTCAACTAAATGTTCCCCAACAGTTGGTGGGAATCGATGATCATGTGCAACAGATTATGAGCAAGATAGATGATGAATTCAATGGTACAAGGATTATTGGAATTTACGGAATGGGCGGCATCGGTAAGACAACTCTTGCAAAGGTGTTGTACAACAAGCTCTCTAGTCATTTTGACTATCGTAGCTTCGTGGCAAATATCCGAGAAACATCTCAGCGTAAGGGTATTGAATGCATACAAAAGCAACTCATTTCTGCCATAATAGGAAGTTCGTGTGATGTGTCTAATGTCGACGAAGGAGTCAGTGTCATCAAATCTCGATTTATGAGTAAGAAAATCCTCGTTCTTCTGGATGATATGGATGATAGTACTCATTCAAATGCTTTAGTTGGGGATGGAAGTTGGTTTGAAGCGGGAAGTATAGTCATCATCACAACTAGAAACAAAAGCATTCTCGATGAAGTTAGGGCGGGCTACATGTACAAACTCAACGAGTTGTCTTTAGATCAATCATTGATTTTATTTACAAGACATGCATTTCGAAAGGATTCTCCTTCGAATGATTATGAGGTTATCTCTCGTGATGTCGTATCTACTACCGGGGGGCTTCCATTAGCTCTTGAAGTTATAGGTTCATTCTTATGTGGAAAGAGAGAAGAAGTATGGAGAGATACATTAAAGAAATTAAAGAAAGTGCCCGATAAGAAAGTGCAAGAGAAGTTGAAAATAAGTTATGAAGCATTAGATGATGAGGAGCAACAAATATTTTTGGATATTGCATGCTTTTTCAATGGATCACATAAACAAAATCCAACTTACATGTGGGACGCCAGCAGTTTTCTCCCAGGTAGGGGGCTTGAAGTATTGAGTCTTATGTCCCTAATTAAAATTGACAAATACGGCAAGCTAACGATACATGATCAATTGAGAGATCTTGGAAGGGAAATTGTTCGTCTAGAAAATCCAAAGGAGCCTCAAGAGCGTAGCAGATTGTGGATCAATGAGGAAGCCGTAGATGTGATTAACGGAAACAAGGTAAGACTTTTCTCTACTTGTCTTGGTCAGTGAATAGGGTTCCATCTTCCCATTCTTGTTTGAAATAAAAATAGTTGTGAGTCTTGGCTCCCCTAAACTAGCTGCTTCTACGAGCTCTTTTATTAATTATTGTTCTTGCCTTATTCTAGAACATAATTGAGGATCAATTTCTTGGTTATGGGCAATTGATCTATATCTTTACCTAGTAATACGGTGATAAAGATACTCTCCTTTTGGTAATTTCAATGCTACAACAAAACTACAAAAGCAGAATATTTGACAGATTACTTTTAGAGAAAACCTGACATTTACAAATTGTTGCAGCCATGCCTTCCCCACATATTTGTTTGATGCAAGTGTTTGATGTTTGGATTGATCTTTTGGTTTCTTGTGAGGCCTTTTTTTATTTTTTATTTTTACTACTTATGAATTGTTTGGTGTGATAAATGAGACCTCCAATCATTTGTGACGATTTAGCTATCTTGGTTCCTGTATTCTTTAAGTTGGGTTAAGTGTAACCCCTAAGTATTATTGGTTGTGCAATTTAGTTGCCCATCTATTTTTGCTCTTGCTCAATATAGTCTTCTAACTTTCGCTTTTTTGTGCAATCGAGGCTTTTGTGGCTTATCATTGGTTGACACCGTCAATTTGTTGATGTGGCATTTGTATTTATTTATGATATATGAGCAACCATGTAATATAACCCTTTAAACATATATTATTTTCGTTGTCTAGACTTTTCATAATAGGGGATAGTCTCTTTCTATGATTATGCTAGTACATTTTCTTTTTGTGACGATGTATGATTTTTCTATTAATTTCCGATAATATGTATTTGTTAAACATAGGCTATCATGTTATAATAATTATTTGTCTATTTTTCAACTCTTAGTGAGCATCTTATTTTGCAAAGATTTAGTTAACATTTATATCATCATTTTATTTTTGTGAAACGAATACTAGTTTGGGGTAAATGTGACACGGGTCTACCAATTTGTGATTTTTTGTGACTTGAAAATTAGTGTGGGGTAAATGTGGAAAAAGTCTACTAGGTTGGGATTTTTGATATTATTAACCGAAGTAAATATGGTCTTGAATTTTGTGTGATGATAAATTTTCATTATTAGCATGAAAGTTAAAAGGTGATCCATTAAAAGCAATTATAACTAATGGAAGATTTGTACAAGCATCAAACAAGCATGTGCAAATGTCGTAAGTATCGTTAGTTAAGAAAAACTAGATAGTCACATTGGGATGCAAAACATATTGAAATAACAAGACTATTGAAAAAAAAATGCTACTGATGCTTTTCGGTGAGCATATTATCGTACGAAGGAAAATATAATCAACTGAATAGAACATTGCTTAGAAGTGAAAAAAAAAAAGGTATCTATGAAGTTGTTGACAAAAATACAATAAATATACAAGAAACTTTTAATGTAAAAACAAGTGGCGTCTCACATGAAAGAATAAAAGTTTGAAGGAAAAGTTGAAACCACCAAATAGATCCGTAATATTGACTCTTATGATTTGCGCTCAATGTGCAATTCATCATCTAAAACAAAAAACGAATTTGAGTTCCTGAAATATTAGGTTATGACAAAAGATAAATGCAGAAGACTCAAGTTCTTTATGAATACAATTTTGTCAATCTTCATGTCCAATCTGTTCATACGGAAGGTCTCATTAATATATGGGAAAATTGATCAAAATTTAGATGACTACTACTTCACGGTAACAAAATCAATACGACAACGAAAAGATAGCATCAAACATCTATAGTAATAAAAAGAAAGTAAGAATCATCTATAGAACATTCGATATTATCAATTTTTCTTCCACGTACAATGCAAAACCCTCAGCGAAGAATTACATGATAAGAAAGGAACGTAAAACACATGCGTACCTTTTGCGATGACATTCTCGTTTTCATTTTGATATTTAGAATTGCAAACGAAGTATACCAGAAAGAGTGGGGGGATTCTACAATTGGGATTCTTTAATTTTGATACATGTTTTGAGGGAAAGTTTGATGGATGTATTTGGACTATTAGAGTCATATTGGTTCACATATACAGGATAGGAGTAAATGTAGTGTTATTTCACATATGAATGGCATGAATTTTGATAGATATATTTGAATTAGTGTATGCATGAAGAGAGGCCTTCTATTGTAGTTGCAAATGGATGCAAATTTTGGGAATTCGGAAGGTGCAAATTGCGAAGGGCATAGTTGGAAGAGGAAAAGTTCAGGAACAACCGCTCGAGCTTCTCATCTTTACATAGATTAGATAAATAGTATGCAACCACAACATGTCATTTCACAAAATTTAAAGGGAGAAGCCTATGCCATGATAGTATGACAACAAATTGAAATCAGTGCATTTTATTTATCATTAGTTGATCTCATCTCATCATTCAAAACTTATGGTCCACAATGTTTCCAAGTTGTAGGGCACTAGAAAGATTGAGGCACTTTCTCTTGGCGAAGGTGGTAAGGAAAGAATATACACAGCCGAACAATTTAAACAAATGACCAACTTGAGGTTCCTTCTAGTGGATGGTATGAATTTCGCCGGAGATTTCCAAAGCTTACTTCCTAAATTAAGATGGCTTCAGTGGGCGGGTTGTCCCTCGGATTTTATTGCGACCAACTTTCATCCGAATAAATTAGTTGTACTCGATTTGTCAAACAGTGCAATTTCGAAGGATTGGGGAGGATGGGTTCAACTCAAGGTAAGATATAAAGAAGGCATTGAAGTATTTTCAATATAATTTTTTTTCCTTGTACATATAACATTTGAAAATTGATTTTCATAATTAAACTAGTCGTTTCTCTTTAATCTCATACTATTGAAGGAATACATGGCACCCAATGAATGCATCTCTCTTCCATTTGAATTTGTCATTTGCTATTTGATAATAAAAGTTGCTTCTATTTAATCAGTAAACATTTCCTTTGAAATGTTATTCATAAATACATGCAGTCCGCACTTGTATATCCCCAACATTCTTTTTGCAATTGATATGCTTAAAAAATATTTATATGTTGGCGTAGCCAAACACTACTAAAAGAGACATTTAAAATTTAAATAAGACAACCGTGAAGGAGTCAGGGAGCATAGGTATTTTTTGAGGAATTCTAAAAGGTCAAAACACAAGGAGTAGTGGAAAATCATATGCTACAGAAGTCCAATTAGATTGAGGTATCTTTTCTTTCTTCCAGATGGCAACCGAGCTCAAAGTTCTCAACCTCGGGAATTGTTTATCTTTGAGAAGAACTCCCGACTTGACTTCTTTCATAAGCTTGGAGATTTTGATTCTTGAATGTTGTGTGAATCTGGAAGAGATTCATCCTTCTATTGGGAACATCAAAACCCTCGTTTCCTTGGATGTCTCTTATTGTAAAAGACTCAAGAAGCTACCAGCAGGAATAGGTAGAATGGTAAAATTGAGGGAGCTTCGCATAAAAGGCACTGATATACAAGAGATTCCTATTTCGAGAGGTTGTTTGACGGAGCTGGAGACTCTATGTGTCGGATGTTGTAAACGACTTTCTCAACTTCCTAAATCCGTGGACTCCCTTGTCTCATTAACTCTATTGGACTTATCTGATTCAGCAATTGAAGAATTACCTGAATCCATTGGTTCCATGAAGAAGCTCGAGACTTTGAATGCCTCTGAATGTAGACTGTTAGCTCGCATACCCAGCTCCATAGGCAATCTAGCATCCCTACAAAGCTTGTTCTTACGTGCCTGCTTCTCATTGACAGAGATCCCTGACTCGATTGGAAAATTGGCATCATTGACCGAGCTGGACTTAGGATCCACATCGATTACGAAATTACCTGAAAGCATTGGGAATATGCCAAATTTGAGGATCTTGGACATTAGTAATTCTACCATAATGGAATTGCCTGATGCCATCGGGAAGTTGGCAAAACTCCAAAGGTTGGGAGCTGGAGTATGCAAAAAACTAGAACGACTTCCTAGTAATATATGCGAATTGGTTTCGCTAGAGGAGCTTTCTTTAGACTTTTCAGGCATTTCAAACTTGCCAAAAAGCATTTCTAAGCTTTCTTCTCTCCAAGAGCTCAGTGTTGAATATTGTGAAAAGCTTCGAGAAATACCAGAACTGCCCTCTGGCTTAACAGATCTAAGGATCATCTGCCAGAGTCCGCCGTTGCCCCATCTTTCCCAGCTAACCCGTCTCACGAAACTCGATCTTTCTAATTGCCCCTGGCTTGAATGTGTCCCAGAGCTTCCCATTGGACTATCGCAGCTTAATATTGTAGATTTCAGAAAATTGAAAGCGTTCACGAATTTATCAAACTTGAAGCACTTATCAAAGTTGTTTCTCCAATATTGCTTTCATCTCGCGGAAGTCACTGGTTTGGAAGGTTCACATTGCCTATCCAACTTACCGGCAAGGCAATGCCCTAAGATATCTGGGGTCGATGGAATTGAAGATTCTTCGAAGTTGATGAGCCCAAATGCATCTCTGCTCGATGGATCGCTAGATCTTTCCGATTCAAAGATTCTGCAGAGAATGGATGCCGCAGCAAGTTGTGCGAATTCAGCTGAAATCCAAGACCCTGGTGGATCAAAATCCTCTCAAGTGTCGGATATCCTTAAATGCACGTCCGCCGGACGATTGCTAGACTTTTCCAGTTTTAAATACCTGAGAAGCCTTTATGTTTGGAATTGCTATAGCGTAACTGAAATTCAAGGCCTCGATGGATCAGAATCCTTGAAATATTTGGATATTAGGCGGTGCTCTTCCCTTAGATCAGTGGACCTCTCGAACATAAAGAATCTGCGGCGTTTTTATTCTTGGAATTGCGTAAATTTAGTTGAAATTCGAGGGCTCGAGGGATTAGGACCCTTGCAAATATTCAGTATTTCTGGATGCCCGTCTCTTCGACAATCACCGGACCTGTTGCGTTTAAATGCGGTGGTGACGCGGTGGTGAAGGTGGTGATGGGGGGATCCGCTTGGAAGTGGAGGCCCGGAGGGAGGGAGGTGGTCTGGGCCAGTTGGGGGGGAGGATCACAGACAGACAGAAGGTGTTTCGGATCTCCTCCCCATTTTCTCTTCCCATTCCCTCTTTTATTTTCTCTCTCATCATCAGTTGCGTTCGGAGAAGGAGAGAGAGAGAGAACGGAAGACGAGCAGAAGTATTCGCGACTGAGGGAGGGGGGTTCACCGAGTCCTCGCTTTCTCTCTCCATTTTTTCCTTCCCCCTCAGGGGGCTCCGAAGCGATCGTTGCTCGCAGACTTTTTGGCCGATTCCTCGAGCTCGAATTCCGATTTCCAGAACTAGATTGAGATTGGTTAGGTCTTCTTCTTTTGATTGATGCTTGATTCGCCTGGTTACTTCTTCTTCTTCTTGAATGATGGAAGGTTGGGTTTGATGATGTTCCTGTGGAAGTCTAATGGTAGCGCCTGTGTTGTGTATGTATACAAAGAAAATTATGTCAAAGAAGCAGAGGGATTAGCATTAGCCTGGCGGATATCCTTTCTGGCAGGGTGCTTGTATTTACTGATGAAGTGAAAATTGATTGATGTCGGCGAGTCTTCTTGAATGAGGATTGCTTCATAATACTAATTCAGGGATTGATGTTTGTCTACTCACACACAAACTAATATACAATCAATCAAACATGAACTATGAGTATGGGTTGTACCTTTCCATTCTGAGGAGTTTCTCCCTTGCATGAACACAGAATGTGTGACGTTTGCTGGTGGCGAAAGGAATATTAAAAAAGCGGGAGGCAAGATTATTGTGTTCGGTTGTCTGCCTAGTTCTTGGGGCATGAACTTTTGTCTTCCCAGCTCAAAGCACTCTTTGCCTTCCTCTTCAAATGATGTAAAGGAGTCAAAGTTATTTGATGACACTGTTACTTGGATATTCATATATGTTAAATTGTTTTTCCTGTATTTAGTTGCTCCCAAACATTCATGTAATAAAAGAAGTATCTTACACTCCTTTGCTAGGAGTGAATGGGGTCAACGAGGTTAACCTATGTCCAAGTATTTGCCTTTTCATCTCTGCTTTTTGGGTGATAAGCTGGTGGAATTTCGACTCTTCATTGATGGTACATCATTGTTATGCTATGCTGAATGCTGATAAGTTCCTCTGGATTAGTCAGAGCATTATGACTAGTGGCTATTAATTATACCTATGCAAGATTTTTACCTTGAAATTCGTTTTTAGGATTTCTATCTGTATAGGTGCAATTAAAAAGATGGAAATTGGTCACATCAAAATCATTCCCAGTTGGGATCAGTAGGAGGATCATTGGATCCATAAAGTTAACCCTAATTAGCAGGTTGGCCTTTAGATTTTGTTTTAGATGTACTACGGGTCACGCACGATGAGAACTGGGGCCTAATTTGGTTTCCTATGAGATTGAGTCCTAATTAAATAGACAAAGTAGGATATTTGGGACTGGGATTAGGAATCCCATTCTACTTCTGAAGCAATATTCAAAGGCCAAACCTGCTAATTAGGGCTAACTTTGGGGATTGAACTATAAGGGGATTATAAATGAGAATGAGGTGTTGCCCTCATCCTGAATTAGATTGTATGGAAGATTTAATTGGTGGTCGTGGCAAGGCTGAACATACTTTCTATACAGACTTGGGGGAATCCTTAAGCTTTCTGCTGGAGTAAGAATAACCTTTTATTGCTGGAGTTGGAAGTGGGCTCTACCTTCATAAGAGCTTGGGTTGGGGTAAATGGAAGGTCTGCTGTGCCTCCACAAACAGCAGTGCAGCACAATGCCAACACCTTTGTATGGCAACCATCTCTTCTGGCTGGGGACGGAATTCTTTTTTACGTAATAGTATATATCTCTTTACCTTGTCTATTTCTTTCATCCTCCTGTCTTCTTCTTTACACTGTTATCATCTGGATTTGCATTTGTTTTATTCTCTACTTAACTTTTGCCCTGGATTCTTCTCTAGTTAACTTTCTTTAAGAGGTACGAGAGCTTCTTCACTGATGTGCTTCTGCTGTGGTGATGCTCGTGCTTTTGTCTTCCACTTTTGAGCTTCATTCCCTCTTTTCGAAGACAACACACAGGTGTTAGTACAGAAAAAAGATTAAGTATCTATCACTTTAGACCTTAATTTTGTGTAGTCTTATGATCATTGATTCAAAGTATGGTCCAATTTCAATCATTTAGGATCAATCTTAACAACCTTTACCTTAAGGGTTAGATTTTATACATAAGGGATTGCTTCCCATATGTGTACTGATTAGATCATGAACAGTCGTTTTGTGTAGCTGTGACATGCCATCTATGTATAACTATCTAAAAAACGAATGTGCTTGCCATATCGACGTGAGAATTGGCTCTAGGCAATCTGTTGGGATGCAAGATCTCAGGCCTGGTGCTTGTGCTCCAGAATCTAGTACGTTGGAATCCTCTAGAATCTAGTATTGTGGAATCCTTGTCAGTTTCTCACCTTGTGTTTCTGGATTCTCTCCCATGATTGACCCAAATTTTTACTTCCTGTTCTCCGACTCATGTATGATACACCTTACATTTTTTTCATGTCTAGTTCATGTTACGTTTCATGATATGTCCTTTATGGGGATATTATAGTGCTTGTGCTGTTTGGAAGTTTTCAATTGGCAGGGATCCTCTTCATAGAGATACCTGTATTTGTATTGCACCTTGCTATTGTCCCTTTTGGTTCCTTTTTTGATCATATTTTCATTCTAGAGTGACAAATTTTCCGTTCTGTTAATCAAATAGTTCAAATGAAAGTTTTAATGGTGATCTAGACACAATCAAGTCATTGACTTGATTGGATAGTGACATACATGTCACTGTTATCTTATCAACAGGCTGTGACAGCAATATTGCAGCAGGCTATGCAATACGTTGACCAGACACGTGAGCTTGAGACCAAGATAGAGCTTATTAAGACACATAACTCTGTCGCTGCTCGGAAGGTGAATATGTGAAATCAAACTCTATTACTGCTTATATTCATCAGCAATCTGTTTTTATTTTGTGGTTTCTATAGCTAGTTTTGTCATGCCAGATATATGTCGAAATTGAGAGAGCACGGTTGATCAAGAAACTTGCAAAAATAAAGGAAGAACAGGGTCTTATAGCAGAAGCTACTGATTTGATGCAAGAAATCAGGGTAACTTGAATTTGACTTCTGTTGCCATGTAATTGGTTTTTCCTTGTCCGACATTCCTATGATGGGTTGGTAATGAAGGTAGAAACTTTTGGAGCAATGGCAAGGATGGAGAAAATTGCTTTATTGTTTAACAAGTACGGGTATTTTGTATTGCTTTTAGCCGTTTATGCACTATTACTATGATTGGTTTTCTGATCGATGGATTTTGCAGGTTCGTTTGTGCTTACTTCGCAGGATTATGTCTGTGCAGATATCCTTTCCAGGAAGATCAGCCCCTGAGTGTTTGATGCAGATCCTTCCAAAGAGAAGGAAAAGCCTAAAGAAGGTGAAAACATTGTGGAACAAGTGCCAGCTGATATTCCGTCACTTCTGGAGTTGAAATGGATATACTATTACTCATGATATGGTAAATTGGTGTTTTTCTTTTTCTAATGTTGTGTCCACTATCTTTTAACTAATTTGTTTTTGCCGATCAAGTGCCACCTGGTGTTCAGGTTGTGGTTCGAACGATGAACTTGTATGGCTTTATATATCTGGCACATACTCTTCTTCCTTTCTAGCTTTATCGCAAACTCTGACGTTCCAGATGTTCTTGGTAGATTTGAATTCGCATCTTAGTTTACCCCACATTTTATGTGCTTAATGATGTAGGTATAGGTAATACTCACATAACAATGATTACCTTGAGATTTGTCGATACTATAAGGCGATATATGAGATTCCATCAGTGAAGGGCAACCCAGAGCAGTGGATGCCGGTGAAGCTCTTTCCTTGTTAAGTCTTCACTGAGTTTTTCAAGGCACAGCTGTTCATTCTGTGATTTAATTAAATGCAGGTTCTAAGGAAAATCCGCCGGTACTTAATTCTATCACCACATGATCCTATGCAGTCAAGCCTTCTTAATGCCACTTTAGAGGATAAACATCTCTCAGAAATTCCCCAATTCAGGTACCATCTTTGAATTGGTCTAGGTAATTGGTTGTGCATCTTGCAATATCTCAATAATGTGCCATAGAATTTGGTCGACCATGCCTTTGATATTTTAACGCAGGTTGCTGCTGAAATAATTGGTCACGGCGGAGGTTATCCCAGGGCCTCCTCTTTAAAGTACTTTCAAAGATGAATTTGCCAATGAGAAAACATGCTAGGAGGTGCACTTGTTGAGAAGGCAGCAGAAAATCTTAGACAGGGCCGAATCATAGTCAAAAGAAGAATTTTGGCTTCACCTGGGCGAGACAAGCTACCTTTAGCTGGGAGCCTCTTCAGAGAATCATTGAACATGTAATTACAGAACTTTGTCGTTTTTCTTCTTTTCATTGGATCATCATTCCGATGTGACTCACTCTAGTTTCTGCAGAATATTATTGTCGTTTTGAAGTACTCCTTGAGGATTACCTTAAACAGATTTGCAGAGCTGTTATGCCTCAGTATCCAGGTCTGATTATATGGAACATTTGTTTATGTTCTTTATCAATGTCACTCTTTATGAATGATTGCCTAGACCCCTCATTTAACCCTGAGCAGCCTCTCTGCCTGTGATCCCTGATTGGGGTATGGTTGCTGGACTTGGATACAAGTTCCAAAATATGTGTAAAAGAGGTTTTGGTGCAATGAAAGCCGAAGGCTTGTCATGGATTTGAGAATGTTGTCTTCATAGTTTTGTTTCGTACACTTGGCTTAGTCAACTTCTGCTCATAAATTTGTTGTAGCTGTAAGTTTCATTGTCTGGCCTTGTGAAACCATTTCTTGTGCCATGGAGCCTGAAATTCTAATGCACTTTAGAAGAGTGGGAGGAGCTCTGCTATATTGCTAGAAATAGCTGAGCAAGCTTTTTCTGCT